AGAACTAAAATCTATACAAAAATTAATACAACAGCTTCTTCTTTGAAATTATCAAACATTCAAAGATTTGATATTTACCCTTCTCAAACTCTTCCAAAAAACCAAAGAAGAGACAATACTTCCTAACATTTTTTATGAGACCAACATAAACCTGATACCAAAACTTGACAAGAATACAACCAAAAATGAAACTACAGACCAATATCTCTGATGAATACAGATGCAAAAGTCCTAAACAAATTACTAGCAAATCAAATACAACAATACATTTAAAAATAATACATCATGATCGAATAGGGTTCATTCCAGGGGCACAAGGAGGTTCAACACATGCAAATCAACCAACATAATGTAGCACATTAACAGAACAAATGACAAAAATCACAAACTTATCAAAAGATGCAGAAAAAGCTTTTGATAAGATACAATATCCATTTGTGATTAAGACATTCATTAAAATGGGTATAGAAGGAAAGTACCTCGACATAATAAAGGCCATATATAATAAACCCTCAACTAATTTAACACTCAATGGTGAAAAATGGAAAGCTTTTCCTCTAAGATTAGGAAATAAGGCAAGGATGTCCACTCTTATTCAACATAGCACTGGAAGTCCTACCCAGAGCAATCAGGGAAGAGAAAAAAATGAAAGGTATCCTAAGTGGGAATGAAGAAGTGAAAGTGTCACTTTTTGCAGATGACATGATTCTTTATATAGAAAATCCTAGAGACTCCACCAGAAAACTATTAGAAACAATAAACAAATACAGTAAAGTTGCAGGCTACAAAATCAGTGTAAAAAATTCACTGCATTCCTATACACTAACAATGAAACTTCAGAAAAAAAATGAAAAAAGCAATTATTTGTGCAATTGCAACAAAAAGAATAAAACACCTAAGAATAAACTTAACAAAGGTTGTATAAAGGACCTCATGCTGAAAACTATAAATCATTATTAAAAGAAATTGAGAAAGACACAATAAAATGGAAAGATATTCTGTGTTCATGGACTGAAAGAATCAACAGTTAAAATGTCCATATTCACCCAAAGCAATATATGGATGTAGTGCAATCCCCATCAAATCCTAATGACATTTTAAGGAGCAGGTATAAATGACCCATGGACATAGATAACAGGATGGGGACTGACTGTGGGAGTGGAGGGTAGTCAGGGCAGGGGAGAGCAATGGGAGAAAATTGGGACAACTCTAATAGAAAATAAAAATAAATAAAAGTAAATAAAAAAACAAAAAAAATAGAAAAAAATTATCAGATTGTTATGGAACCACAAAAGACCCTGAATAGCCAAAGCAATCCTGAGAAAAAAGAATCAAGCCAGAGGTATCAATCATACTACCTAACTTTAATTTATACTACAGAGCAGCAATAATCAAAACAGCATGGTATTGGCAGAAAAAGTAGACACGCAGACCACAGGAGAGCCCCGAAATAAAACCACATGTACAATAAATAGGCAAATAATTTTTGACAAAGGATCCAAAAAACATACAATGGAGTAAAGAAATCCTCTTCAATAGATGGTGCTGGAAGAATTGGAAAGCCAAATGCAAAAAAAAAAATGAATAAAGCTAGACAACAATTTGTCTCCATGCACAAAAATTAATCGAAATGGATAAAAGACAAATATAAGATCTGAAACAATAAATTACAAAGAAGAAAACACAGGTACTAAACTCAGACCTTGGTCTTAGAGAAGATTTTATGACTCTGACTCCAAAGTCAAGGGAAGTAAAGGCAAAAATAAATGAATGGGACTATATCAAACTAAAAACTTCTGCACAGGAAAAGAAACTACCAACAAAACAAAAAGGCAACCAAATGAATGGAAGATGGTATCTGCAAACAGCTCTGACTAGGGATTACTATCTGAAATATATAAAGAACTCATACAACTCAACACCAAATAGTCCAATTAAAAAATGGTCAGAGGACCTGAACAAATACTTCTCCCAAGAAAATATACAAATGGTCAACAGATATATGAAAAGATGCTCAACATCACTAGCTATTAGGGAAATACAAATTAAAACTACAAGAGATACCACCTCACATCTGTTAGAATGGCTATTATCAACAAGACAAGTAATAACAAGTGTTGCAGAGGTTATGAAGAAAAAGGAAGTCTCACTCACTGCTGGTGGGAATGTAAACTGGTATAGCCACTACGGAAAACAATGTGGCTTTTCCTCAAAAAATAAGAGTAGAGTTACCATATGACCCAGAAATCCCTTTTTTGGGTATGTACATGAAAAACTTGAAAGCATTTATTCACAAAGATATATGAACCCCTGTGTTCATTGCAGCATTATTTATGGTGGCCAAAACATGGAAACAGCCAAGTGTCCTTTGATAAATGACGGGATAAAGAAGACTGGCACATGTATACAATGGAATATTACTCAGCCATAAGAAAAGATGATCAGGGGAGGGAGGTGGGGATGGCTGGGGTGAGGAAGAGATGGAGGAAAACTGTACTTGAACAATAACACTTAAAAAAAGAAAAGATGAAATACTACTATTTGTGACAACATGGATAGACCTTGAGAACATCACACTAAGTAAAATGTCAGTCAGAAAAAGCTAAGAAGCACGCGATTTCACTCATAGTGAGATATAACACTGAAACTCATAAACACAGACAACAGTATAATGGTTACCAGTGGGAAGGGGGTAATAAAGGAGAAAGGGGGCCAAGTATATGGTGAAGGAAGATAATTTGACTTTGGGTGGTGGGAACACAATGTAACATACAGGTCATGTACTGATCATCATAGAAATGCACACCTAAAACATATATAACCTTTTAATCAATGTCACCCCAATATATTTAATAAAAAAAGAATTTATGCAATGTAACACCCAAAACCCTCAACCAATAAAAAAATGGGTGGAGAACCCAAATAGACATTCCTCCAAAGGGGATGTACAGATGTATAGACATATAAGAAGATGCTCGATATCAGTAATCATCAGAAAAACACAAATTAAAACCATGATGTATCATCTCACACCTAACAGAATGGCTATTATCAATAAATCAACAAACAACAAGTGTTAGTGAGTAGGTAAAGAAAAGGGAACCCTTGTGAATTGTTGGTGGGAATGCAGATTGGTGCAGCCAATATGAAACAAAACATCAAGGGTCCTAAAAAAAATAGAACTGCATTATGACCTAATGATTCCATTTCTGATTTATACAAAGAAATCCAAAATACAAATTCAAAAAGATATATGCATCCCTATGTTCATTACAGCATTATTTATAATAGCCAAGATATGGAAACAACCTAAGTGTCCATCAATAGACAATTAGATAAAGAAGATGTGATACATATATACAATGGAATACTATTCTCCCATTAAAAAGAATAAAATCTTACCATGCTACAAAATGGATGGACCTAAAGGGTACTAATTCTAAGTAAAATAAGTCCAACAGAGAAAGACAAATCCCATATAATTTCAGTTATATGTGGAATTGAAGGAACAAACAAATGAACAAATAAAATTGAACAGATTTATAAATACAGAGAACAAACTGATGGTTGCCAGATAGAAGGGGAATTTGGAGGCTGGGTGGAAAAGGTGAAGGGTTTAAGAAGTACAAAATAATCACAGGTACATAAAGTACAGCATAGGCAATATAGTCAATAATATTGTAATAACTAAGTATTAGTGCCAGGTGGGGACTAGGCTTACTGGGAGGATTACTTTGTAAATTATATAAATGTCTAACTACCATGCTGTACACTTGAAACTAATATAATATCGAGTGTCAACTGTAACTGAAAAAACCGGTCATGTTAGTATACTCCTTTTTGGACTGAATTTATTTTAAATCATCAATACTTCACCTTCATTATATTTTCTAAAGTAACCAAATAACTTAAGACATATGTCACAGTAAATTCTAATGACTTAGAGAAATTTTTTCATTAACTTTTAAGAAAAAACCAAACTGACAGTAACCGGAGGGAAGAGGGAGAATAGAGGAAAATAGGGAAAGGGCTGTCAAGGAACATATATAAAAGACACATGGACAAAGTCAAAGGGGGAAGGATCAACAGTAGGACGCTAGGATGGGTGGGGTGGGGTGGGATGGGGAGGAGTGGTGGTGGGAAAATGAAGACAACTGTACATGAACAACAATAAAAAAAGGAAAGAAAAAATGTTCTTTATATACATACCAAGGGTCACTGAAGAAAATTTAAAAATAAATGCTTTTCCTTAATTTAATAAAAGCATATGATTTAGAAGCAATTACAAATACCAATTTCCATAATTTTTCTTCACTGGGAACCAAGAAATACAAATCAACAAACAATGTAACAATATGAGAGTGTACTGCCAAGTATAAAATATAGTACACCACTAAATCAAGAAGCACATTATTTTAATCTATTCCCCATTATTATAAAATTTTAATATATATATATATAGTCTATATTTAGCCTGATAAAAACCCATTAATTTCACTTTTGCTATGTTGAAGTTTATCATAATGCAACTTTCTGGCAACAGCCAGAGGAAGGATGGATTCTGTTACAGAAATGAAATAGCTATAAAAAACTTAACCTGTGATGCTAATGGCTCAGTTCTACTGAGCAAAGTTAAACGAGGATTTCTATTTTTTATCTCCTTTGTGTTATACTCATTTAGGTACTCTCTCCTGCTAATGAACTAAAAATCATAAATAATAAACTGACACAATGAGATATGTTACAATAATCATTTTAACGGCAGGGGAGAGCAATGGGGAAAATTGGGACAAGTATAATAAAACAATAACAAGTTATTTTTATTTCAAAAAAGAAAAAACAAAATAGTTTGTTTCAAAATAGTTTGATATAAAAAATGCTTAACAAAATATTTATTATCTTTTTGTCCTATTATTTTACTTCCAGGATTTCAAAGACACTAAATATGATACAGAATAAAATACAAGTAATTTTATACTCTCTTAAACATACTAATTTACCTGTAGACATCACTATTTTATATGACCCAGGAGGGGGATCCTTATGTACAACACCATGGCTTCTGGTCAGCATCTTTAGAGGTGAAGATGTAGAACATGGAATAGGACTTTTTTCCTGTTAAAAAAAAAAAGAAGAAAAAGGATTCTTATATAAGGTAATAAGAAAATGGATATAACTGGTCCACAAATGATAAGTTTCCAGAAGTCCTCAGGGTTGAAAACCCGTGTGTGTGTGTGTGTGTGTGTGTGTGTGTGTGTGTGTGTGTGTGACAAACTGTAGTTCTTTCCACACTGTGCTCCTCAGAGGGACCCATGATCAGGTGGGAGAGAAAAAGACCAAAAGGCTGAGATTCTCAGTACTACTCCTGCTCCAACTGGTCACACCTTAGCCAACATAGTTGACTCTGTAAAATTTGCTTTATTTTTTGAGGTTACCCATAAGACAAATTTTTTCACACTGCTAAACAAAGTCTGTTAATCTAATTTAGCAATACATCAAAAGGGGGTGAGGGACCTCAACAAGACAGAGGACAGACTTATCTTCAGAAAGCAGTCACTCATCTGGTTTTTACTCTAGTCTGCATTTCTCCATATTATATATGATAACTCTGACATTACAAGTTGCTTGTCCACAAAATTATGCCTATCATATATAAGAAACAAAGGTCTTAAGGGATTTGTTAAACATCACTAGCACTTTGTTAATTTTATATCAACTCTTAAGGTTTTTTAGGAGCCATTTCAAACATCTCTCCAATATAAGAGAAGGAGCTCTTGTGTGTAGAAAAGGTAATGAAAGGATATTTAAAAGGCAGGAACAAGGAGGTTAATATAGGACAACAACCAATGCTGTTAGATTTTTCTTTTATTTGTTTAAATTAATGACTTTCATTTGGTTCACAGCATTCTAGTAAACCATGTTAATATTTAAGTATTAAATTACTAGTGTATCATTTGTTCTTTCACTATTCACAAAATCTGAAATCTGAATCCTTTGACTTAAGACATACCAAAATAGTATGTTTGCATTAACATTATAAATTAAACAAATGTACATTTATTTGGAAAACATGTTTCCATACCTCTAGAATCCATTAAGGGGAGAGGGAAAATAGCTGTAAGGAAAGAGTCTATTGCAAGAATAATTCTTACTCTGGTTCAAAGACTTTCTAAATAACTAAACTATGACATGGCAGTACTGGAACAAGGAGATAAGTAACTGCATTAAAATCTTCTTCTTTTCATGATGAAACAATGAAGCTGGAGAAGATGAAAGTCAACTGAAATGCTTCCTTTGAAACAAAAAATAGTTTACAATCCAAAAATTATAGTGTCTGTCCCCTGCCCCTCCCTACCACCATATAAACAGTATTCTCAAAACTAACTCTTCAAAATTGTCAAATTAACATTGGCGTTATTTCAAAATAAAGGAGTCAAGAGAAACTTTTTGGCATTATTGTCTATCATCACCATTACACCAACTAATCACACAGACTTTCAGAAGCTTGAAAATGTGCATTAAACATGTATTAATTGACACCTTAATACATTTTAATTTTTAATGCATCTAAAATATTATTTCCCTTTAAATTTCACTAACTTTTCTTAATTTTATTTCCATTGCAAGGGACTTTTTTTTTCATCACCATTTATTGCCCCTACGCCCTCTTCCTGGAGGAGGGGCAATAGCTCCACGCAGTTTCACAAGACACACTGAAGGGAAAAAAGTGACTAAAGATCAATCGTATTCTAGGGTCTTGGTGGACTCACTCCTGGGGGAGCTGGGCCTCTAATTCCTAGGGGAAAGGGTATCATTGCTGGAGGGAATATGCCTATTGGCATCCTCAAGCAAGGAGAAACCCAACTGGTGATCCCATGGGTGGTCTCATAGCAGTTAGCGGAGCCATAATGCTTGTAGGTGGGGTTGCTCAGCCCAAAGGGGTAGGGGAATTCCCCCAACTTGGTGGGTAGTGAGTTGGAGCTCCAGCAATGCTGGCAATGGCTGCAACTTCAATAGCTGCTACAGTATACAGGGAAGACCCTGTGGAGTCATTACCTGCTGGGATGGGCCCCCAACCCCTTAGACAGGACCTGCTAATCTAGCAGGAGCCTGGGGAATTGGAACACCAGTTGGTACTCCTCTGCCAGTTGCCCTGCCAACCCCAGGGCCTCCTGCTGCTCCAGGAAGTGGTACTCAAACAATGCCAGTATCTTTGGAGTGAGGTACCTCCACACTCATGAAAATCAAATTCTCCCTATGCAGCAATGCCAGACCCAAAACCTTTTCTTCACACTGTGGCTGCTTCACATTCTTTGGCTTGATCTTCCTGAATTCATCACAATCAGAGAGGACCAAGTTTATGTGCTTATCAAAAGCCTTAAAGGTGCCAATGAAGATTCTGTCATCTTGCAGGATACATTTCATTCTATAATTGATGTGCTTCAGCATCTTGCTGCTGTTTCCCCAAGTCATGATCGCTGTTCCACCAAATCCAATGTCCAGAATAAGTTTCAGAATCCTTTAAGTCCTAAGGGAAGGCTACGAATAAGGTATAATGCAGGTTCTGCTACAAACAATACAAGCTGGGGCAGGAGCTGCAAGCAGTAGGTAGAGCCCATTTTTGTTTTTCCTTGGAATCAACTACCTTGGATGTTCCAAGACTGTCTTAACCCACTCTTGGTGACTCAGCTAAGAATGCTTGCCTCAGGTACAGCTGACACTCTTGGTTGCTCAGTGAGGCTGTCTTCCTATGTTTGACTGAGACTTCCACCTCTGGTACATGCTTTTCCTGGTCCTTCTCAGTGTAAGTGGTCCCCGTCCCGCTCCATTATGCTGCTGGCCACTCCTCAGAACACAACATTAGGCATGTCCATGGGCCACTCCGCTCTGCGCTGGACTTGCGGCCATAGTGCCAACAAATCTCAATGTGGTTTTGAAGAGATCAAACACTATTCAAAGTTTTAAGTTTACCCAAGAAAAGAAATACCAAGCTTGATGGCTATGCAGGCCTTAAATATACTTACAAATTCCAAATTCCTAAAGGGATTCATCATAGTCTTAGTAAATCCTGAACTATATGTTATAAATAATAACTACAGAGACCTATAATGCAAATTAGTAGGAGTTACAACTAACCTCTTTGGGGACTTTGCTTCTTGGTGTGACATTTTTATCAGAACTTTCCACTCTAGGGACTGGAGAATGTCCAACTGGTTTATTCCGACCTGATCTCCTGGGCTGCGGTGCTGGTGATGCTACAGCAGCTCTCCATGAAGACCTCATTGACTGCTGGAATGCTTTGGAAAGGGTTTAAATGACATAATTAAGGTATTATCTTATGATTTGAAATAATTTAAATAATCTTTTAAAACATTCTGCAAGTTATTCATTGAAAACTACTTAAAATAAAAGTATCATTTAAACAAAGTTTTAGGTATTTAAGATTTCTTATCAGAAAATAATGTAATTCTCCAGAAAAAAAGTAGGCTTTTATAAAAGGAGCCAGGAACTTTAAACTTAGCACAGTGAAAATTTCTAGCTAGTTACCTTTTGTCTACTTCTCATCATTTTAGTCCTTCGCACAGAAAACAGTTTCTCCTTCGGAAAATATTATCCAATTATGTCATATACAGGAATCACTTTGCCCATCAATATAGAAAAACCAACGGCTCCTGCTTCATCTTTCAGAGGCCAGGGGAATCTCCTGCACTTGATTTTTAGTGACTAATGTATATTATGCTCTTATATGTATGTCTAACAAGAAAGCTTCATATACTAAAATACAGACACTATATTAACATTGTCATGGAAGGACCATTAACATACTCAACAGATTTTTATCTCCTAGTTCTTAGCCCAAACAAAGTAACTAGTTTTAATATTTCAAATGACAGTTACCTGCCACATTACTTTAGTCTATGTTCACAATTAAATATACATATTTTAGTATTAATACCCTAATAACTTCATTACAAAAATGAATCTTATATATAATAAGAAGTACTAATGTCAAATTTTTTTCACAGGGTGAGCTGTAGAGTAAAACATTTATACATCTACACAAAAATCAACTACTTTTATTTTGAAAATTTCATTTGACAACTTAAAGCCAATTTACCACTTTGCTCCTCTCATACTCAAATACTACATGTAGGACTGACAGATCTTTGATGAAGAATACCACATCTTCCCTGCAGCCTTTTTATCTACTTTCTTTCACTTACCATGCCAAGAGGAGGGAACAGTCTTCTCTCAGCTGACAGGGCAAATGGAGGACCACTTAATTGCCACCATCATTTTCCCCCTTATTTACTGTAATTCACCTATTCCCACTAGTCTCTTCTTACCTCTTTACCATCATCTACCTCATTCTCCATGCTCACTTCCACTTTCTTCAGTAATTCCAATAACTTAATTCACATTATTTATTCTTACACAGTTACCCTATCATCATTTTCAGATATTTAACATCACACTTCTCATACTTCATCATCCCAACCTCATCATTGGAGTTTTCAGCTCTTCCCTAAAATGGTTATGCTTAGTAATTTCTGGAACTCTTCTATCTCCAAGATAACCAGCATGCCCATTTCTGTATCTCCAACTTTCTTACCTATCATTTTTGCTTCATATCAACTGATCAAGCTTTTCATTCTCTTTATGAGATCTAGCCACAAGCCCTCTCCATTTCAGTCCAATCTATTGGCTGTCTTCTGGCTTTACTTTACTCTGTATCAACCTGCACCCAACTTTCCACCTCCACATTACCCCATGATCTCTGATCAAGCCCAGCTTGTCAGTTCCCACCTATAAATCACACTAGCATTTGTGTTCTCCGGTCCTATAGGATAAGGGTTAGCAATCTTTTTCTATAAAGGGCCAGATAGTAAGTATTTTAGGCTGTAAAGGCCACATACAGTCTGTCACATATTCTTTTTAGTTTGTTTGCTTGTCTATTTTAACATTTCACGCATATTAAAACCATCTTAGCTCACAGACTACATGAGCTAGAAGTGGCCCTTGGGTTGCAGCTTGCCAACTTCCACTATAGAACATTAGGATATTATTGATTGCTGTAAAATCCACGCTAACTCCAATCGGGGTGTCATTGTGCCAACTCACTGATTTCCAAGTATGCTTCCCTGCTTAAGTCCCCATCTTCCTCTCATCCTATTCCATTCAGCAAATGACCTTACTTTCTACTGCATGAGAAGACTAAAGGCTGTATTATAGGAGTGACCATGACCATGACATTTCTCCAGCTTGAAAATACACTTTTTTTTTCATTCATTCTCATCTCTTCCTCTTGTACCAAATGAAAAATTTTCTTTCTACTCTTCCAAGTCCAATTCCCTTTTACTTATATCCTAGTAACAATCTTCTTTGGTTCCTCTAGGACATTATGATTTCAATTATCTCCTCTTTCTTCATGATATTTAATCACTTGAGCGCCAACTCCTTGCTCTCTTATAACACTCACACATCCCTTATTTTGAAGTTACCTCCTCTAGTTGCTGGTATACTTTTAAGCACTTGCATGAACCCTCCTTCTATTTACTACCAAAACACCAAGATCACCTATAGTTGATACTTCAATTTCCTTATTATTTTGTTTCTTTAGCCCCCTCCAACAACTGTTTCTTCTCCCAAATATACTTTAAAAGAAATTCTTTCCAAGATCACTAATGACCCCTTCCTAGTTAATAAATTCACACAAATCCTCATTCTTTTGACAATCTATTAATTCTCACAATTCTGTTCCAAGCTGACTCAGCAGAATATAATCATAAAAGCATTTCTATTGCCCAAGCAGTTGATCATCAGAGACACATGGTATTTACTTCCCTCTCTAGTAGCAGGGGCACTCTCTGTCCTAGTCACACACACTGCCTACACCTCAGTCCTGTTTTGTACAGGTCTCTGCCTGTTACTCTTCCTTTTACCATCACTTAAAGGCTTCTCTAAGATACTGCTTTTTCACCTTCTCATTTTCCTACTGTGCTCAAAACAAGCATGAAAGTCCTTTTTAAGACCCCCCTTCATTTAAAGAGGTTCATTTTGTTTTACAACTAATCACTACAAAAAAAAGATGACAAACATTAGGGAAGTTATAAAGTAAAACAGGGTCTCTAATTTTTAGTAGCAACTGTTCCAGTTTTTATGGAAATAAGACCTGTCTTTTCTTTTAATGCTTTGGGACCTTGCACCAAGTTAACTATTCTAACCAGCCCAGTTCCCTGTTCATTTACCAAGCAGAGATGGTTTGGTTGGCATGGTAAGAGTTCAACAGAATGAACATAGCCAGTCCTGTTGCCTGAGCTCCTCCATTGTCCCTCCTGAGTCTTCTTGATAACCCATGTAGGTTTCCCTCTTAGTATCAAGAACCACAGTTTTACAGCATTAACAATACCCTAAACATATAATAAGAGGGAACTCCCACAAAGAAAGAAAGAAATCATTTACTTGGAAAAGTAAAGACCTGCTTTTGGAGCCTGACAGAACATCCCAGTTTGGGAAGTGGTGCTGTATCTTTTCCAGCGGCTTTAAAAAATGATGTCTGGACAACTACACCAAAACCAAATATTCTGAAATGATCTGAAGCTTTGATTCACTCCCTTCTCCCCCATTTCAAAACAGGGCTTAGAGAGCTAAAGTAAACAGACTAAAGAAGAGAGGGAAAAACTCTTCATATGCCTTATACATACAGCAATATGCAGAGTATATTCTATCTTAAGGTTATTCAAAAGTTGTAAAAATGTTACTGGAAAAAAATCCCAAAACACAACTAGAAGGTTAAAGGAGAGCTCTCTAACTCAAATGACAAAAGTCTGGTTAAGTTGTTTATCTCCATACCTAAATGACAGTGTCTCTTTTCTTGGCACACATGCTAAATTAAAGTAAGAAAATTGAATTTAGTACAAGTTCCATGGTTTCCCTACCCTGTTATATAATTATGTTTCATAAGTATTCAGACTATAAATGAAATCATAAAAATGCAAAAACTAGTTAGAAATCACAGTTAGAATTTAGGAGGGCTTTAATTTAAGTGTTTTTAAAATATACGTTTTCTACTCGCCAATCATAGATGCTTTGTACACTACTTCCTTCAGCTTTACAGGGGTGCTTGTTTCCCATGAAGACCTTTTCTTTTCTCTTACAATTCCTACTCATAGCTGTTCACTTCAAAAGAACCAAGATTTTGGTTGCCACAATATTACTAAAGAACACAGCCATTTTCAAAACCTTTAATATTTTCATTAAAAAGTTCATATGAAAAGGAGCAACTTCAGTTGTTTGAAGTCAGTTTATATCATCTAACAATACTGAGCCTTTAAGAGCCACTCCATTTTTTGCCCTGGTTGGTGTGGTTCTATGGACTGAGCCCTGGCCTGTGAACCGAAAGGTAACTGGTTCAATTCCCAGTCAGGGCACATGTCTGGGTTGTGGGCCAGGTCCCTGGTTGGGGGCTTGCGATAAACAACCAACTGATGTGTCCCTCTCACAGTGATGTTTCCTTCTCTTTCTCCCTCCCTTCCCTTTTCTCTGAAAATAAGTTTAAAAATCTTTTAAAAAGCCATTCCATTTTTAAACCATAGTATTTTTTCTTACTGAATAACTTCTATAGAGTGACCTCCATTATGCTGTAAAAAAATGTATAGCAGTCACTGCTATAACTTCCACAAAACTCATTAAATATAGTGACATAATATTTAATTAGGAAAATGTTATCCATATTTCTACATCATAAAAATAATTTCAATAAGTTTCATGTAATACCAGTGAAAATTATATTTCTCAAACTACAGAAAAAAAAACGGCAACACTTTTCATTACAAACTGTAGATTTAAATGATCGAGTCTAACTTAAGATAGGGCTGTTCCTTTTTTGTTTTAAAAAATTTTTACAGTACAAATAACCAAAGACTGACTTTTCCTTGTATCATAAAACAATTTTGACAAGTGACTTATCAAATAATAGCTACAACAATTTCAGTAAGTAATATTTAGAATAAAACAGGATTTTTTGAGATAACAGCAAGACTGGATGTTTAGTATACAAAAGCTAACAAGGCAGACAATGAATTTCTTTAACACACTTCAGCTACAATATAAAGAAAGAAACTTTGGGGGTTACTCCTACCTTTGGAAATATTCCAGAGAAACAAACTGTCAGTGATTTAGGTTCCACCCGACAGCCTTCTCCTTTACTAGGAATAAAACTGCCTTTCTGAAGAAAGCACGTCAACAACAAAGCCCATGTTGACCGAGCAAGCCTGAATTTCAAGCAAATGGGGAT